AAAAAGTTGTAGGTTAGATCTCTGACCGGCCCATATTTGTTGAACTAAAGAAAATGACCTTTTTATTTATAAAGGGACAATTTGAATGTTATACATTTTTTGTTGTTGTGACTATTCAATGTTGAAGTTAATGTTAGAGATCTAAACATTAAAAAAAATTATTTAGGATTGGTTTAAATTTTTATTTTTTAAAATAAACTTATTTAAAACAATTTCATTAGCATTGTAAAGCATTATTGAGAGAATTAATGTAAATTGAAATAATAAGTTAATTTTGTGGATGTCATTCTAAATAAAAGTTAATTCGTTGAGGTGATAATATGGTTTGTGAGATGATCTCCCATCCCACATATTGTATTAACAATAATAATAAATAAATGACAGATAAAACATGAGTTTGAGTAAACTTTAAAAAAAGGTTATTGTTTTTTAATACAAACAATATTGTTTAAAAGAAAAAACAATAATCGCATTAGATTTATGTTATTTTTTAATCAATAATAGTGACCTTGGGTAAATCTTAAGAATGACCTCCGGTGAATCTTAACCCATAGAGAAGATAATTAAAAAAGATAGTCACTAAATTGAAATTTGATTAAAATATAGGGGTTAAATTGATATCAAAATATATAATGAGGATCATTCAAAAATAAAAGAGAGAGAAAATAAAATAGAAAGCAAAATGTTAAATATATCAAATGATCTCTGATCYTTYAGGAAACTCTCAATTTGATACACAATATTTTAAAATTTAAAATTTTATCTTTAATGTAWTKAAAATTTTCAATCAAGTCCTTCAAAAATAATTTGTTAACAAAAATGATTTGTGTCTCCTTGAATTAATATTGCTTAATTGATATATAGACTCGTGAGAATACCACTTAAACATGTCATTTGAAATAAAACATATTTTTTAATAAATGAATCAGATCTTGAAAATAAATAAGTTAAATCTTTATGTATTAAATAATTCTACCAGGCAACATGTTTATGTACTCATATTTATTGATAAAACAATGATAAATCAAATTTTTCTTAACAATTTTTAACAAAAGAAAACTTCATTGAAAATTTTAAAACTTAAAAACCAAATCGTAAATTATTCCAAAGATTAATTCTATTAGGTATATTTTCAATTTTGTCTAGGCAAAATTGTATTTTATCTCTACACATCATTATGATGTCAAAATTCTCATAATTATAAGTGAGATAGAAAATTTTTTAAAATTTTTAATTTTTTAAAAATTATAATGTTCTGAAAAAAAAAACCTGATACTGACTGATTGACCTTGTGTAATTTCCCTTGAAGTCATTCTTCTTTTTATTTTTTAATTTTAGTTTTATTTTTTTAGTACAACTTGTATTGATTTGTAGATCAAAATTTCTATAAATATATAAAAATATTTTAGGGTAGACTTGTGCAGTGCACGCGCCATGGATATTTTTATATAATGACTATTGGACTTATTTTTATTATAAAATATTTATAGCATGTGGAAATTTAAATATTCACAAAAAAAAAAAGCTACTTGAAAGGTTTTATAAGAACAAATATAAAATCTATATATCAGGTGGTTGGAGGCATAAATTTAAATTAAATGGTTGTTAAACTATTTATACCGTCACATCATCCCATTAATACAATAAGAATTTTAAGTCGTATTTCATCGTCATGTTATGGTCATTATCTTAAATTTTTTGGGCATGATTTCAAGATCTAATTTGAAGGTTGTGTCGTTACTATGATTTACCTAAGTTGAGGTAAAAAAAATAAATTCAAAATTTAGAGAAATAATTATTTTTTATTCTTATAAATTTAAAGACTAAAGAGACATAATGCTTAAAGTATAGAGATTAAATTTGAAATTTAATACTTAAACCACCCCTAACCTCCAAAGGTTGCCAAAACGAACATTGCTCGGTAATTTACATATATCTCCAACTATAAGTTTGTGAGTTTGATTYCTCATTCCCATGTGTTATACTAAAAAACCTCCAAGTGTTATGATATTACTTTTTAAATTTAAAATTAAAGAAATCTTGRAATTTTATTTTTATTATTGAACTTTCATTCTTATTTTATTTTGTTCAGAAAACTTTCGAGGAAAAAAACTGGTTAAAAAAAAGGTGCCACGTGGTGCACACCATGTTAGCTTCCTTATAATAACTATTATTTTCTTGAATATTGCAATTCAAATAAGAGATAAATTAAACTGCCATCAGAATACAACACAATCGATAAACCAAAATATTATTTACTGAAGAAAAAAACAAATATTAAAAATACAAAACACAAGTACACTTGAACTAGAATTTAATTCAAAATATTAGTTCACAGTTGTCAGCAGCCTATTGGCTGGTATCTAATTTAAACAACTAACTTTTCAAACGCCCAAAATATCTTTCTCCGCGTCATCGTCATACGACATCCCTTTGGTCATCCGTTTGCGTCATCACTTGACGAAGGAAAAAAAATTGAAAAGAAAAAGAAAAAGAAAAATTAAATTTTCCTAAGATGGCCCTTCATTTATTTGAAATTAATACTTATTTAAAAAATAGTGTGAAAAATAAAAAGTCATATGTGTCTAACATTAACAACTGAGTTCCATTATCAAATTAATTTTGATTGAATCTTAAAAAAACCCTTAAGATTTATATATAAAAATTTATTCACTCGCAATTTGAAAATAAAATAAAATTCGTGCAACGATTATAAAATTATTATTCAAACAACGTGTGTGAGGACACGTAGGTAGACCGGGCTTTTGAAGTCAAGGTAGATAACGTGAAAAAGTGGAGATTTCAACAAAAAAGTACCCTTTTTCTTTTTATTTATGTTTGGTCTTTATATTCTTTTAATTATTTTAGTTTATTTTTCTAAAAAAAAGTATTGTTGTTTAAAATTTTCCCTGAAAGAACTTTGTCAAGTTTAATAAAATAAAATTTTTGCAATTATGTAAGATTAAATTAAAACTAATTTCGAACAAATATCAAATTGATAATTTAACAAATATTTTGATTAATAGATATTTGCAAAGTTTTCTTGTAATCTTTGATGTTAAATTTTCCTCTCACATTTCTTTTTTTAAATTAGGTTCTTTATCTTTAATTTGTAATTTAACCTCCAAGTCCATCAATTATACTCCATTTTCTTTGTGCTAAATGCATTACAAAAAAAATAAATAAATACAGAATACAAAATTCAAGTGTTAAAAATACAAAAAAAAAAAAAGAAATCATTTATAAAAACATGACTTTTTTTCCTTCAAAAATATAATATCTAAAACTTCATATTTCACAATGTAGATTATTTCAATTTTCATATTTTCAAATATATATTTTTATCATGCTTATATTCCCAATTATTATAATTAAGACGATATTTTATCCCAACTGATTATGAAATATAGATCTTTATATGCGTTAAAAAATCATGTGTACAAGTATGTAATGATGCCCAAAATCAATGATAACTTTATTTCATTTTCACAGCAACACTCATGAGATAATTTGACAGTTACATTTATTTATGAAAAGAATGTACTAAAATTTATCAATAATATCTTTTATGTACTTTATAAATTAAACCCATATAAACCCAATAAAGGAGCATAATGTAGTACCAAAAGCGAGCATAGCTCATAATTAACATATATCTCCAACTAAAAACAAGCATAATGTACTGATGTAAGTTATTAGAACAAGTACATTTATTATTAGAAAAAAGAAACAAAAAATGGTCAAAGAAACTAATTGATTGTGCCAACTTGAGAGTGATCAAGATAGAGTGTCCTACACCAATCCCTGATAAACTTGAAAATTAACATATATCTCCACTAAAATATTATGGGTTGGAAAACAATTGATGTGTTTAATAAACTTGAAAATTTATGATAGTTTATAATCTTATAACTCAGGAGTGAAAATGAGATTTAAATCTTAAGTTTTATAATATAAAATTTTAAGTAAATTTATAAAATAATCTACTTAAAAATAATTTTAAAAAAATGATATTATTAAAATTTAGCCATAAAAGCTGACTTTTAATGCCATTTTTTGTTTAATTAATCTAAAACAAGTCAATATATAAAGTTTGATTTGACAATTAACTCAACATATCAATTTGATTTATATTCAACGTTTTATTATGCATATAAAATCAGCAAAAATATTAAATAAATGCAATCTGTTGCCAAGGGTTAAGACCAAATGAACTTTAAAAGTTCTCTAAAAAATCTTCAACGCAACAAAAGTAGACCAAAATATTAACTTCAAAAGTTATGTGTAAACACTTAATATATAACGGAGTATTTAGGTTAAAAAGGTCATGATGTTTTATTTTCTATTTTTTTAATGAAAAAAAACATTATCATAATTTATAATTGTTTCTTGTTTTTTTGAAAAGAAACCTAAACATATTTTGGTAGGGTAATCCTTTCTCATTTTTTGTTCTCTAAAATTTTAAATTTAAAAATGTAAATTTCTATATAATTTTAGATTTATGTCCCATTCAGTAATAATGCTAGACTCTAACTTATATGTATGATGACATTTGGCAAATACTACACTAGATCAATGGCCCATTCAATGACAGTTTTTTTCTTTTAAATGATTAATAACTCCCCCTTTTTTAAAGAAATATTCAGACTTTTTTAATGATATTTTTAGATTTAGTTTTCTGTTTATTTATTTTTTAAATTTAAACTAGTTTATCGACGTTTTTTTTTGTTTGATTTTCGAAATATTTATGAAATGTTAGACAAATTTCGTATTAAAAAAAAACACAGATTTCTAAACATTTATTTTTGGCCGGTATTAAGGAGTGAGATGGACCGACGCATGGGATGACCACGTAAGCACATAGCGTCATTTATCCAAAACGAAAATGAAAAGAAAAAAGAAGGGTTAATCCTCAGAAGTATTTTCCACAGAATTTCCGCAACTAATTTCCTATATAAAGGGAGCGGGATTTTGCCACTACTCGTTCAGTTCAACAAACTTGTTTCCCGGTTTGCCCCCAAATTCCTCTGCCCCAAATGGAACCCTCTGCCTCCGCCACCATCAACACGTCTCTCGACCTCAATTTCAATCCTCCGCCGCCCACCGCCGACGATTCTCCGGCGAATCACACTATTTACAGTTCACTCAAAGAAGATCAGGTCGTTGCACGAATAATCGGAACGAACCTTTTTTTTCTTCTGAAGAACAGGGAGATTAATTACAATTAGTTGTTTGTTGTTGATCTGTGCAGGCGGCGGGTGTTCTTGTGGAGAAATTGAATCGGATAAGTTCGGAGAATGCGAAGCTGAATCAGATTATAGGGCTTGTGGTGGAGAATTACAGTGTTCTGCGAAATCAGGTGTCGGATTTGATGATAAAATCGAGATCGAAGCGAAAGGCCGGATGCGATAACTGCAATTCGAATCGGAGCGGTAATAATAGTAATGTTTTTACGGATCAGTACTGCGGATGTTGCAGCGACGACGATTCGTGTTATAAAAGGCCTAGAGAAAACAGTAAGCCCAAGGTTAAACGAGTTCTGGTTCCCACGCCGCTATCTGATTCAACTCTGGTATGTTCATGTTTATGTTACCACATTTCAATTTTTTTTTTCATTCAATCTTCAACTTCTTTCTAATTCCGGTGGATTGACTCAAGAAATATGTATTCCTATTCATTTACTTTTATTGTGCTAAGAAATAAATATGCCATGCTTGGGTAAAGATATCTGTACTTTTCTTTGAGACGAAAGGATCAAATCTCCATATCTCACTGTTTGTTTTCCCAATAAATAAATGGTGGTTCCCAAGAGTAGCCTAGCATACGAGAATTTAGAGTATCTTGGTCATATTAGTTTTAGTTGGTTTTGGTTTAAAAGTCTCAAATTCGAATTTTCATGAGTTTAATACTAAATACATCTTCTAATAACTTTAATACTAGAAAAGCTTAAATTCCCACTCCTCATTATAAATAAATAAACCGATACACTACATATTTTACCTTCTAAATTGTTTTTAATACAACAAACATGAGAAACTTTCCAGCTCTAAGATACTAAGCTATGTTTCATGTTGGATTTATGAGTCAATTTAGTTATTGAGAAACTTAATTAAAATTTAGATGGTGAAAGGGGAGTTTTTTTTTTTTTTTTTTTTTGTCTCAAATATGATAAGGAAAAGAAAAGGTAGAATTGAACTAGTTCATTTATATTAGTTTGTTAAATTAATTAGAATAGTTTTGATGGGATTAAATCTTGCGATATTAATGGAACTCTCTAGTATTCATATATTAACCACATATTTGTGGCTGATTAATCAAAAATTGACGTGACAATTTATGCTAATTTTAATATTTAGAATTCTTCATCTTGTTCTTCTTTCGTTTTGTTTTTTTAGATAATAATTCCAATTGGATATGGTGTAAAACTATAGGTGGTGAAGGATGGATATCAATGGAGGAAATATGGTCAAAAGGTGACTAAAGACAACCCCTCCCCTAGAGCTTACTATAAGTGCTCCTTTGCCCCCAGCTGCCCCGTCAAAAAGAAGGTAATTTCCTCGAACCTTCTCCCTCTCAMTCTTTCTTTCTCACCCTATTTAATTTTCAACCCCATTCTTATATCCTAATTCCTATTCATTCAAATAATATTAGACTTCTTGCATAAAATTCACATCATTGCATAAGAAAAAAAAGTGTAATCCTCGTTATTCCTTCGCCATCTATTCCTAATTTCCAATTGTATTAATAATGGCCAACATGAACATTGGGAACATTCTTATTTCTTGTTTCTATTTCTATTTTTTTTAATAATATAACGTAGAATTGCACGTTCTCAACATCCATAAATTAAATAATGATAAAAGATAATATTGTATCTTATATTTTGGAACAAATTGAAAATGAAACAAAAATTTTTTGTTTTTAAAATTTCAGAATGCTTCGGAGAAATCATATATATATTTGTCGAATGCTTAGAAAATTAGAAACGAAAAATTACCAAATGGATCCTTCCCTTTTTTATCATTGAACTTATATTTCATTTGGACAAATATTACAGGTGCAAAGGAGTGCTCAAGACCCATCATTTTTAGTGGCTACATACGAAGGAGAGCACAATCACATGCAACCCAATTCTGGAATTGAGTATCAATTGGTTGGACCAATTCAATTGGGTTCAAATAAGCTGGAATCTTCTGTTTTATCTCCACCGTCCATGAGATCCCCCTCATCATCTTCTGTTGACACTCTCAAAGCTTCACTTCCATCAACCCCACAAATTCTAGTTCAACAAATGGCTTCCTTCCTGACCAGAGACCCCAATTTCACTACAGCCCTTGCCACTGCCATTACTGGAACCATGGTAGATAAAGAAATCTGGCGATAACTAATTAATTAATATGTTCTTCGTTGGAGTATATAYTTTTTGTACAATAAAGGAAAAGCTTCAATTCTCCCCTCTTTTAGAGAGGATTGAAACTTGAGAGTGTGAGTGACGACGTGTAAATTTGGCATAATAATTACTTTTGAGGTCACACACTCTCATCATGAACTTATAATTTTGTGGTATTGGGTTGGATTTGTAGTTTACATTTTTTTGCTAGGGAGTGAGTGGATGTATATTGGACGCAGTTTTTTTTTTTTTAATACCATATTGCATGTAGTTTTATATATATTGTTATATTGATTTTAATTTATGAATTCATTATATATAACTATATTGTTATATTGATTTTAATATATGAATTCATTATATATAACTTTAAACTTTTCAAAAAATTATTATCGTCACAAAAATATCTTATTTCTCTCTTAGTTGTCAAATATGTTTCGTAATTTTTTATTGACGGATGGATGGTGTCCGACAATCACAACGGTCTAACCGTAGACCTAGCGCAGGAAAAGTTGACCGGAAAGAAAAGATGAATAAATTGGAAGCTTATTTATTACTTGAGCACATTTGTGTTCATAACATAGAAAGAATTGCAGCCGACTTAAAAGTTAGAGAAAAATATTTGTTTTCGTGAAAATATAACAATAATTTCAAAGTAATAAGAGTTAGTCTTTGGGCTTTGGAGTGTTCTTTTTAATTTCTTAATCACCAAGAAATAATTGATCTGTCGACCAGTCTTCAATCTCCATTTCTTGTTGGGAAAGTTCCCTCATGACTTCCTGTTGAAGAAATCATCAATTTTCWTGAAATCTTCTTAAATATGATTTGGTGCTCTTTGACCTAACAATGAACTCCATTTATGTCTTTGCTAACCACTCTTTGGACAATATCATTTGAAGTTTTCAAGGAATGAATGTTTGCTTGGGGGCCGTAGTTTGGTTGGTAGAWTAGGTTTAGAAAAATATTTAGACRGATGAATATTTATCTTGTGCACAGATAAATAAGAAAAAGAAATGCAAAAATAAATAGTTTCTTCTCTAAAAATGAGTGTGTTAATTTTTCAATGGTGGTCAATATAAAGATAGTGTTATGACCCGTTAGTATACTAATACTATAAAACTAAGTCRACATTGGGTTGGCCCATTCATTAGTCTTAGGACCAAATYAGACTTTTAACACTTATTTCACATAAAACAACTACKTCGCCCTGAGATAGTCTAGTGGCATTAAAGCATGAGAGAGACTCTTGAGACTTTTGAGAAACTACTCATTTACTGAAAAATTAAACATTTAAAATATATAAACTAAAAGAAAGTTGGATATAGAAATKCGGAAAACAAAATATGATTTGAATCTTCAAAAGATTACAAACTCATAAATCAAACACGCAAATAGAAATTTCTAAGTTCATTCTTTCACACGTAAATCCGAACACGACCACAACCTCGACCTCGACCTTTCTAAGTTTAGATGCTCAATTTCAACTACATAAATCCAAATTTATTCAAAGTGTGTGTGAAACAGATGACCTAGGATGAATATTTGTGATGAAAATGAATAGCGCGTGTGAACTGAGCATCTTACCCATCGCAACCTCCAACAAAAATGGAACTTTAAAAAGTTCACAGCTTTTTCAAGAAGCCACTTTCTGAATGGAAGAACAACTTCATCCAAGTTGTGGCCACATCACGTGGATAAACCAAGAAAACAATAATAATTAAAAGGACTAACCAATAATAAAAGTCTTCCATTCGATATCATGTAACGCTCAACTAACGTTAGTGTTAAGATATGGAATAAATTATTAAATTTATCGTAACCCATCAATGTCGTTTGTAATTTATCATTAATAATAGTTAGTAACTAACTAAAACATGTATATTTAACATAATATAATCGATACCATTAAATCTGGTCTGAGAGGTTAATATAACATTATTTCTTACAAATGTTAGGCATACATTTTATAAACATTTTCATATCAGACACATATAAACACATTTTAATTTTATAATCTTTCATCTTCGCATAATTTTTTCTATTTCAATTTTATATCATACACATTTTAATTTCTCTCGTCAATTTTACACAAAAATTAGTTCACCGTCCATATATATTTTTTCTTACTAATCTCTCATTTTACATGCACTTTCTCTAACATACAATTCCTCTCTCACTAATACTTTTTCACGCACAATTTCTCTGACAATGTCTCTCTTTAAATAAAAAAAAAACAATCACTTCATTCGAAAGGGAATAGTTGAGAAACATACAAATAAAAGGAAGCTATATAAAAGATGGAGATTTAGTCGTTGATTCTGATATCGCCCCAAACTGAGTCTTGATCTTAAAAACTTCCAAGAAAACCCGATTGTTTCTCTTACGATGTCTCTCTCTGTACATTCAATTTCTCTCATTAATCTCTTTTTCGCACAATTTCTCATACTAATCTATTTTTCACACTTTTTTTTGTGCGTCCCTCTTTATCTATAAAATTCGTCTCGTCCATCAATTTCTCTTTTCACACACTTTATCTTGAAAATTTCTTTCCAATACATCCAATTTCCTTTCACCAATCCTTCCCTAGCTACACATTTTCATATTAATTATAATTAATACGTAAATATTAATCATTCAAGGAAAAACCATTTCTAATTTGATTGACGACATTTATGCATATTAAAATCAAACAACCAAATATGCATTTTTTTATCATATTATAAGTATTGATAATAAGAGTACATTTTTAAAATAACGGTCTCCCAAATACATCGTTTCAAATGCTTTTAGAGAATCACTTATTGTTGATAAATATCTTTTAAATACTACTAAAAGAAACATCCTAAGTCCAATTACATATAATCAAAAACAAAATTAAAAAAAAAAGTTTCAAATTATGAGTTAAAAATACATTTGTAGTATTATAAGAATTACATGATAAATGACCCACACATGAGTAAATACGTACTTTTTTTTAGGTAGCATTCAAATATACAACTTTTAAGAGATATTACTAATGCGTTCATCAATTTCTTTTTTACAACAATATATAGAAGTGAAAATTCAGACCTACGACTAAAAAAAATTAAGGATATATATCTTAACTAGTTGAGTTAGATTCAAATTGACTAGTACATTATTATAATAACGTATAAAGAAAATGAATATCATAAGCAATAATGAAATTATTTGGTGTATGGAATTACATTGGATTTGTTGTATTTGAATGTAAGTACATAATAATTGTACGAGTAATTGACATGGACGAACGTTGACTGGAATTTTAACCTTGACTTTGACTTTTTCTCCCTCCTGCAATTTAAGTTCCGTACGCTTCTTTTGGTTGGCGTGCAAGTTGCAACAACAGCCCCACCCTGGGTTTTTTCTTCAAAAGTTTTGCTTTTTTCCATTTTTATCATTTCTTARCTTTTATATTTATTTCATGCCAAATATTTATTTTAATCTCTAATTTTAGGGTGATTTTTTAATTTAATTACTATTATTTAAAAAGCTTCAACTTAATCTTTCAGTCAAAATKGACAAATATTACTTTATATTCTTCGCATAATATTCAGTGATCAGTTGACAGAAATTTAGATAARAAAAAATGTCATATAAGACATAAACATTTCTAATGTCTTGTCATCATTTTTAAAGAATTGGTAGAAATTTCGAGCTTTTTTTCCTTTCAATAACTTTTTTCTTCTCTAAATTTATATCATTTCACAAATTTATCATCAACTAATTTTATGAATTATGAAAAATGTTTAAAATGATAAGAAATAATTAAATTAAATTTTTTAACCAATAGGAACTAAAAATTGTCTTTACTTAGATTTTTTGGATGATGGTATTTATTAGGCCTAATTTGATAAYTATTTTGGTTTTGATTTTTTTATTTTTTATTAGTTATAAACCTTATTTATACCTTCAAACCAAATACATATACATATATATATAGTTTTCAAAAGTTAGTTTGTRCTTTTRAAATTTTGCTAAAAATTCAAATATGATTTTAAGAAAGAGGATAAATATATTCCAAAGAAATTGTGAGAGGAAGGTAAACATTCTTTTTAAAAATAAAAAAGTAAAAATGAAATTATTATCAAACGAAMCTTAATCGCTAAGTTATAAGATATTTTAGTTACATCTCTAAACTTTCGATTTTGATCGTTACCTAAACTGCTAGTATATACTAAATTGATCGACCTAACAAATAATAATTTTGTACGGTGTGAAACAAGTTGGACTTAATTGGRCAAAATAAATTAATGTTGGCCAACCAAAAAAAAAAAAGAAAATCGAAAATGTAGATAGGAGAAATAATATGCATCACATTTTAAATTTAATTATTTTCATCATTTCTCGACTCTTAAATAAGCATCAACTCATTAGTTTAGTATTGCTAAATGATATAGATTTATTATTTGGAGTTCAAGACCAAATAGGGTAAAATTATCAAGGTTCGCGAAATGAAATTTTTAATCTCAAATTTCTACTCTAATCAGTAAATTTTACATTAAATATATTTTAGTCTTTTCCATTAATATTCTTCAATAATAATGGTTTTAAAACAAATCATGTTCACTTTGTATAATCAAAAATAATTTTAGAATTTCCTAAAATACTCATACAAGAAACCACACAATCACACGTTTTTCCTTCTCTCATATGAGCTTAGAAAAGCTAAAAAATAATTCTTTGATGATTTTATACGTTCTAAAATTATATCGTTTAAATAATATAACGACTATTTTCTGTCTTTATATTTTCAACTTGTTTTTTTTTTCATTTTAGTCAAAATACAATATATTTATCAAACGTTTGTTTTGGTTTATATATTTTTTAAAAAATAACATTCATTTTTATTTTGACCAAAATTTTAACATCACACTTCACCCACTAAATTTTTTGAAATGTAAATATAAATTTGTATTAAAAGATTTTCATTATGTATATACGTTAAAATAGTGTAAATAAAAGTCTATTGTTGTAACATCTAGTTTTCCGGGTATATGTACCTAATTTCATCCATTTGGATGAATGAGAAAGAAAAATATTATTTTGATTTATAAGTGATGAAAGTGAGTGATGATGACTCGTATGTTTACTTATCAAAGCTAAAGTAAACGGGTTTATTTGAGTCCAAACAATTTTAACATCAATTCTCCTACCATTTCCTTGTCGTTTCATGTGGAAACAATAACAAAAAAACAAGCTTTTCCCACACAAATGTCTTCCATTTTAGTCTGAAAGTGTTGTAACCGACTACTTTTTTTCTTTTTTCTTTTTCCTTTTGTTGAAATTTTCTAATTAGTCTATTATATTTGAGGGTTAGGTTCCAGAATCTCGACGTTTTTCTTGGTGGGGCATCCAAATTATTTGAGTCGTTTGATTTTTTATTGGTCTTTAATTTGTCATAAAAGTTCGTTTTCTTAAAATTAAAATTTAGTAAATTTTCCCTTCTTTTGGTGGAGTATTCTGTGAATATTCACTTTGTCGCCAAGAATATGATAAGATTTTAAGCTAGATATCATCTCTTAAAAGATTTCTTACCTATGAAGTACCGAGTTATGCTTATGGTAATTATGGTTGGCTATTATAAGATAAATCAAATTTCTTTAAAAATTCCAAAACCAGAGTTTTCTTTTTCCACAGAAACCTAAGACTTAATGATTTTCAATTCCCATTTCCCAACGTCATCAAACACAAGAAATCGAATTCCATGCCATGCACCTCCATTTTTCTCCAACCTCGTGGCTTTGAATTCCTGGTTCCCAAATGTTTTCCATCAAACCAAAAACCCACTTGTTTCCTCCATTCATTTCTTCTCCATCTTATGATTTTTCATCATTAAACATAACCCATTTGATATAATCTTCACTCTCTTTTCATAGAAAAATTGTGCTTTTTTCCCCTCCTTTTATCATGGATTCTGATGCCCTTGCCAAACAGAAGGCAAGTTTAATTAATTTGATCCTCTTCTGTATCCCAACCCCAATTCTCTATTCATTTCTTCTTACTTAAAATCATGAGAAAAGTATGCTGAAACTTTGATCTCGTACTTATTTCAGGTGGAATGTCTTCAAAAAGAGCTGGAAAGGCTTCGGAAAGCGAATGAAGCTCTGAACTTTGCTCTCGGAGTTATGAGCATGAAGAACTTGATAATTTCCCGAGAAACAAACACAAATTCTCAAGTGGGTGTTTTTCTAGAAGGGAGTGATCTGAACTGTAATTCAAACAAGAGAGCGAGAGCCGATCTTCAAGCTCGGGCGGGTCTTGGGGCACCGTCCACGACCCAAACATATGTTAGAACGGGCTTCAAGGACCAAGCATTGGTATGAAAAAGAAGAAAAAAGTTATCTTTTTTTCCCTTATATGGGAAGATTTTACGCCGTTTACTTCAAAAGAATGAGAATTTAATCAAAATTTTCATTTCCTTTAGTGGCATTTAGTAAATTGCAAAAATTGGATCAAACCGATGGAACACATTCAAACTTCATAATCAAATCTCATTTTTCCCTTACCCACCCTATCGACCTCATTTTTATTTCTTATTCCGTGGCTCCACACCTTTATAACGCATTACTTTCTAATTAACTGTTTTATGTTTTTATTATTATTTTTATTTATACAATTTTTATGAGCTTATGTGATTTTATTATAAAATATTTCTATTTTCTATTTTACTTTTTAATTAATTAATTTTACTTTGATATTATTAATTAATATCCATACATTTTTCTAAATTGAATTTCTAAACAATAAAGATTAATAATATTTTATATTAAATGATGGTGGTTCATTTTATTTTAGTTATTTATTCTTTTTTAATATTAAATAAATTGTTATAATAAAATTATTTAGAATAAATTATTATTCTAATTTAAAAAATGGATTAGCCCAAAAAAAATATTTATAATCAGTTTAAAATAAGAAAGGGGAATACTAGTGATTGATATATACTTGATTTACACCTTCTAATTCTAGATAGTATTAGGAAACAAAATCAAAAGATTTGTGATTCCGATTCCAAAAAAATTTATAGTAAACAAAATAATAGTCTCGTTCCGATTGATTTTTATTTATCACATTAATTAATTGGATTTGTGATTTCAGATGGCGAAAGATGGATATAGATGGAGGAAATACGGACAAAAGATAACAAAGGATAACCAATATCCTCGTGCTTATTTCAACTGTTCTTCTCGAGGATGCCCGGTCAAAAAGAAGGTATATTAACTAATAATGCCCTACCTCCATAATTAATAATGATTTTAAATGTACCATAACATTCGAAATTTAATTTATTTTGTCTATTTAGTTTTTGAATTTTGAATTATAATGTTTGGTTTATAGATCTATTTGGCACTCGTGAATTATTCATACGTATCGATTTAGTCGAAATTTATCTAATGAATGGAATATGTAACAAGTCTATAAAATGGTTGTTTGAGTTTAGGTACAAAGGAGCTTGGAAGATAAATCTATGGTCATGGTCTCATACCAAGACCAGCACAACCATGAATGTGACTCTCCTTCTCATGGTTCAACTCGACCATTCTTGTCTCGGTCTTCTCCAGTTGTTGTCCATTGTTTGCCGTCGACACCGTGCAACGCTACTGTTCCTTTGGTATCTCTTGATCTTGATCTCACTCTCGCTCTTTGTGGAGGCAACAAAGAAGATAGAAACAACAACCTATGAATTGAATACAATAATTGGGGGAGAAAACCTAAAAAAGCATCAAAACTAGTTATATGAAAAATGATCTTTGACTTAAAAGTTCTAGTTTCACAGCATCCATTTCTGACCAGCCAAGGTCAATGAAAGAATTGAGATTTTCTTTTTAGATCTCAATTGTGTTGCTTTCCATTTTAGGTTTGTTTGATAACTTTCTATTGTTTTTGTTTTTGTTTCCTATTTTCTTTTTTTAATAAATAAAAATAGAATAACGATTTCTTATTTCTTGTTCTTTATTTTTCAATTAAAAAAAGATACTGAGAAACATGTTTAGTAACAACTTCTTATTTCTCATACTCTTAAATTTTAAATTAAATATTCTATTTTTTATGTTATATTTATGTTCTAATATTTATATTTTATAAGTAAAAAATGAAGTGATTTTATTATAAAATAGAATTTGATTTTTTTTTCGGTCATTGATTTTGCTAATTGCAATGGAAAATACTAATTAGCTTGCATGACTTCCAAGAAATTTCTTCAGTAAGATTTTATTTTTATTTTTTTTCACTCTTATATAAGCTCTTCTTGAGAGATTCTAGTTTGATAAAGATTTTGTTTTTATTATTCTATTTTTAAAATTAAAATATAAAATTAATATTACATTTTTGTGTGTTATCCCTTAGGCCTCAAAAAGATTCTTAAAATCCTAAATCAATTTTTAGTAAGGCTTTAACCTTCTTGTTTTGGTCAATAATGTAAAAAATATATAGCTTTCCAAAATGTTGCTATTTTCAACCATTGTTATTTCAATGTGTGATCCTACTCCATACACTCATTTTCAAACTTATTGAATTTCATCTCTTTCCTTACCTCCATATGATTTTTAAAGAAAATATTGTTGTTACTATTTCTTCGTAATGATATTAATCGACATTTAAATAAGATGACAAGTTTGACTATGTTCACATGTTTATTTTTTTAATTATCATTACATGAGATCTAATATATTTGTTAAAATATTTTCTGATAAATAGAGTTTAAACACGGAGAGATTGGCTCAAAAAGAATTAGGAGGTAATTACAAAAACAACATAAAATAAATATATATTTTCAAAAATAGTATAACATTCGAAAATTTTACAAAAATAGCATAACTCAATCCAAGTCTAACTTAAATGTGATGTGTGTTGTCCTAAGAAAAGTTAAAGTTAGATGATATTTTTAAAAAAATGAAAACTCGTGACATTTTAATTTTATGTCGTGAGAAATTTCTCAAAATTTTAAATATATAATTCCTTCTCAATCTTATCATGGAGAGCTTTTCCTTAATTAAAAAAATTATAAGGATAAGTATATATGCATTTTTAGATATAACATCAAGTTTAAATTTTTACGCAAATAACATAATTTTGGAACCAAAAAAGCTATCATGTGAGAGAAGAAAAATAATTAAGTTTGTGAACTTTTTTAAAAAAATTAAAAACACTAACATATTTAAAAATATATATAATATTTTTATCATTCAATATTATTTCCAATTTCCTCTCTTTAAAATAAATTTAAGCTTATAATACGGTTGATGTTACCTTTGTCTAAATTTCCACCCGTTCAAACATGTTCGAAATCTTAACAAAATTTCAAAAAATACAGAATAACTTTTTTTTGGTTTTTAAAATTTAATTATGATTTTAAAAAAAGAACGAGATTAAATGTTTATGGTGAGATTTCATTCTTAAAAACTTGGTCACTCTTATATCTACTAATATAAGTTCGAATCCTCTCGTTATATTTATTGTACTAAATAAATAATAAAAATATAAATAAATCTAGAAATATTATAAAAATTTTGCTGGAAAAATAGAGAGAATAAATAAAATTAAAGTATCGAACCCAAAATTTAAAAAATGAAAAAAAGAATATTTTTTCTCAAAGTGAAAATAGAAAGACAATTTTTAAATTTAAAAACAATAAAAACATTTTAAAACTAATGTTCTATTCATTTGTTTTGTTTTGAAAAAAAAAACACTTAAAGAATTATTATCTTCTAAGTGGTTGATCTCAAATTACTTTAAATGATTTTGAATTTTTAACCATAAATTTTAAAATGAAAGTTTATCTTAGCATTAGTAAAAAAAAGATTCTAACCCTGCTAAAATTATTTTCAGATTTGTCAGAAACTTAACCTTTTGAAACCAGTTATCTAAATAAAATTTTAAAAAAGAAAAAAAAAACTTTTGAAACGTGTGCAATCAAATTAGATGTAAAGGACCCAATTTGTAATTCAACTTCAAAATATAATTTTTATATTAAAATGTTAAAATAGGAATTAGAGATTTTAACATAAAAAGAACTGATTGGAATTTGGAGTTGTGAGGGTTGCTTATCCTAATTATATAATTGTAATCCAATCTAATTAATACCAACAAATAATTTTCTGCAAAATTTTCTCTCTTCCCGCCTCAAATTCTTTTCTTCTTCTACCAAATTCTTATGAGAGTAAGAGATTATGTCGGACGAAGAACACCACTTCGAATCCAAGGCCGACGCCGGCGCTTCCAAGACTTTCCCTCAGCAAGCTGGAACCATCCGTAAGAATGGTTACATTGTCATTAAGGGCCGTCCCTGTAAGGTTACCATCACAATCATCTCTGTTGTTTCCTTTATCTTCATCTGTTCATGCCTTTGGTATAATTGGAAGGATTGAGATTTGAGTCCTCTGTTTTCTTTTTTCTGAATTTTCAATTGGGATTCTTCCGATTTTCCTTTTTAGATAAAATCTAGGTTTCGATTGCCTAATTATGGCTTATTTAGGGTTTTTTGGATTCTACTGTCTTGTATCTTTATGGGTTTGGTACCAATTGATATAATGTTCAACCCATTAATAATTGATAATTGCTTTTGTTGTGATTTCTTCTGGGTTTTTGGGTGCTACTACCTTCAATTCTATAAGCTTGTGCAATATAATTCTCGAAGCCCTACTATTGATTTGATAGGGTTACTAAATGTTATTTGGTTTGAAGAGATTTAGTTGATCTATCATCGAAGGCTTCAATGGATTCCCATCAATAATTTGTTACCTACCCTTCACCTTGCAATTTCTGTTATCATTGTTGTCACTCATGTCTTCTGTATACAACTGTGAAGCTTATTTGGGAAATTATTGATTGGAGAAGTTGTGTGTTTTTTAAAATTCAATCACCATTATTTATCTCGGATCTCTCCCAATGTTGCTTCTAAATTAAATGGGAAAGCCTTCCTTTTCCATACCCTGTTAGAGCAGATAAAAATTTGACTCTGGTTTTACTGATTTGTTTATTTAAGAAGAAGCAAGGTCTGAAGTTTTCATGTGCTAGCAAAGCGATGATAACAGAGTTTTGATCTTTATATTATTCATTTTATGTCTCAAATGCTATTATGTTGAACTAGGTAGTTGAGGTTTCTACATCCAAGACTGGAAAGCATGGGCATGCTAATGCCATTTTGTGGCAATTGATATATTCAATTCCAAAAAACTTGAAGATATTGTACCGTCGTCCCACAACTGTGATGTGAGTATACATCTTGTTTATTTGTGTTCTTATATGTCAGGTTTACGCAATTGTTCTGTGTCTCACATGACACATCCTCCCCACCCCTTGTATAGGTTCCCGAGGTTACTCGAACTGATTATCAGCTTATCGACATCTCCGAAGATGGATTTGTGAGTTTCTTTCCCATTATTTATGATAATGGCTCATGATGAATCTTCTGTTGATGACAAGTTTTCTTTCTCCTCAGTATTCTGCGAATCCGACGCTTTAGTACTGTACTTGCGAAGTTATGTCAGATTTAGTTCAATGTAATAACTGAGCAATTTCTTTTTGGTTTGTTTTCAGGTGAGTCTTTTAACTGACAACGGAAACACAAAGGATGATTTGAGGCTTCCAACTGATGAAAGTTTACTTGACCAGGTAAGTTCATGCACGAACTGATTCTTCTAAATACACAACACACACGGTTCCACGACGAGACAGAACATGTCTTTTTTTTCTCCCCCCGATTACGTTGTCATTCAACAGTAAGTAGCTTTTTCACATGCTCCATGCATCTGTTTCAGATTAGAGATGGATTTGCTGAAGGAAAGGACCCTGTTGTGAGTGTCATGTCAGCCATGGGAGAGGAACAAATCTGTGGCTTGAAGGATATTGGCCCAAAGAATTGACTTCCCCAACTCACAAATTAACCAACTGGCGTCTAAGTTATAGTTGAGAATATTTTTAATTTTTTTCTTCCAGAATTTTGGATATATTTTCTTGTTATTTTAATTTGGTGTTCATTATTTCTTGACAAATGGGTTCAGATTTTCAGAAGTAGAAAATATAGGAGTTATAGCATATCACCTTCTTATCTTAGTCTTCATTCTTTCTTGCTTTCCAGACATGGAAGTTAGAATTTTATAAATTAGATCTTAAACAAATTCTCGTCTTGAAGTCGGACCATTCTACATTAGTTGCTTCTGAATTCTAATTGATTGGGTAGAAATCATCCATCAGTAGAAATAAACAAAAATAATACAAATGAAATCGATTATGAATGATCATCAACATAGATTTTTACGTAATGCGAAAGTAAAACTGATCTAACAGATTCTACAAATATCTCATCTTCCATCTCTTTTTTTCGTTTTCAGGAGATTGATTTGAAACATCATTACAATATAACAACCTAGCACTTTCTACATTTTGGCTGCTACAGCTTCATCCATAATCTAAGATATTGAGTGCCTCCTCTGTCTTGTATACGAACTAGAAGACTTCATATCCCCAGGAACCACTGAAGTTGGACTTTGAGAACTCCCCGACGTCTCGGGACTCCGACTTTCCCCGTGCCCTTTACCCACAATCCATAACTTATCAAATATTCTCCTCGACCTTGAAGGCAACAGCTGCATACCACTTCTGCTGTTTTTGCTGCTCTTCTTAGCTAACTTCTTAGTTTTCTGAATATCCTCACTTATCTTCATTTGCCCCATATGATGTTTGAGGGACTTGCAGCTATCTAACTCCTTCGGACATTCTTCATCTATGCTAGTCATTACGCTCGAAGAGTCTCGGTAGTTGTTTGATGCTTCAACTGCAGCAGAAGCTCTAACCTGTTCAAAGAAAAGAACTTGAACTACAACTCTAAGTGGGAGCCGTTCATTCTGTGCTGCATGCATAGATGCCTCCGCTGTAAGTTTCTTGACATCAATCAAACCACATATCTTCCTCCTCTCAGCTTTTGACAAACTTGGGTGAACCTGGAAATGATCAAAGCACGCCATTATGTTCAAATATAGTGTTTTCCGTTGTCTACAAGAAAGCTTCACTCATAGTACTCATTACTATGAGAAACTGAAAAACAGATAGCTATTTCAGTGATTTCTAAAACGTATAGCTATTTCAGTGATTTCCTAATCTCACTTCAATAATGAACTATGAGGCGGTTATGACGTCTTTTCATGATTTCGGAGAAAATAGACCTAAAATATGCTTATGCTCAAAACAAGAAAAGTTTATCGTCTCATATATGAAATAGGTTAACGTGCACACCCCATGTCATTATAACTACTTTATACAACAAAATAAGCAGTATGAAAAATCTGCATAACGTACCTTAAGATAAATGTCAATCGCTTTATATAATCTATCATGTATTGGCCTTGCAAATTCAGGAATCGACTGTGACAAGTTGATGAACGTGGTGAGCGAGAGATTTGGGTCATCAGCAATTTCAGCAAGATACTCGTCAATCAATTTAGCAACATTCAATGAGGACCCATGCCCCAGTAGAAGATTTTCAGCCCCTTTTTCGCTTCTCTCAATAACATCAGTAACTCGATTGAACCTGTTATGAACAAAATACTGATTCACGATCCTATGAACCAATTCGACATCATATTTTGTAACTTGGGGAGATTGTGCAAGAATCAACAAATCTTTGACTGAAGCCTCATGCAACTTCAAGCCAATTCTCTTCACCAAATCTTCCCTTAATGCGTCATCAGCTCCAACCAAAATTGAAACCTTCATGAGTTTGAGCAAGAAACTGGATGAGCAGCCCGTGCTTTTGTCGGATGGCAATAAGCAAATGATTGTTTCAATTAGAGATCTGTTCCTCTTAATATGGGCATCAGAAGCCAGAGCATTTACAGTGTCTGGTAACCATCTAACAGCATAAGTTTTTAAAGCCTCCCCAATTACAGAACCATCCATTCTGCCCTTTGATTTCACAGCAATCATAACAGGCCTATACAGATCGATTTCCAGCTCACATACATCTTCGACCCACCAATCGTTCGGTACACAGTCAATTTTCTTTTGGTACTTCATTCCATCTTCTACAATTTTATCAGCCTCTGATAATTTCCTGTTATATGTGTAAGACCATGTTATATTTGCAGGGTCCACAGAGGTTTTTGAGGCAATAGAATCAATACATCTCCCTAAAATCTTCAGATCTTCAGACCATGGAAGAAGAGATTTGGCTGTTTGGAGCACAATGATGGAGTCTTTCCAACTACGGAAGATGCTAGAGTTTAGAAACACCTCAATCTTAAATATAAGGTTTCCCCTGTCAATGTCCTCTGTCATTTCAAGGAATTCAGCCGCACAACGAGCAGCCACTACATTATAGGCATTGAGAGTCACAGTCATTCCATAACAAAACTTTGCACAAATTTCAAATGCCTTGGATCCACCGGGAAAATCGATCAGATGAATTTCCTCGGAGTTTTCCTCATTGGCTTTCAATACTAGTTTCTGCAAGCAATTGCTCTTGGACAAGAGAGGAAACTGTAGACAAAAGAAACTCAAACTTCTAAGGTAACTTGATAAGGCTATAAAAATAATCAACAAGACATCATATAATTTCAAGTAAAAACTAACTACAGTTCAGAAGATGGAGAGTGGGAAAAGATTATGCAGAAAAACAAAGATTTGATCTTAAGACAGTATTCGCAAATATCTTTAGACTCCTACTAAAACTTACTAACTTCTAGATTAATCAAGAAATTTACTTGTGCGTTCAAGTTACATCAGTCTTGGTAATTTTCCGTTTAATCATATATGTTAACAGAGATGAGAAAATGATCAACAACGTGTCAGTTTAAGAGATGCCAAATGCATGAGATAACAAAGAACATCGTACCTTGTGAACAAGAAACTTTACTTCGCCCACAAAAATGGTAACGTCAGTTGGCAATTCAGATGACACGAACCTGAAAATAAGTAAATCACAGCACACAACAATGACAAATCAGAGATGCAAAGTAGAATTCAAACTGTTGATAGTAACGTTGTGGGTAGCAGAAGAAAATTATATCAACATGAAGATTATTAAACAGTAAAGCTGTGGTTAGCTATAATATCTAATCAACACAATGTACAGAAGAGAACTCTTCCAACAATAAACGTACAATTGCTCCAATCATATCAATCAATAAAAGAATGGCTGCGAAATTAATCAACCTTCAGAGTTCAAGAGACCAATCGCCATTATTGCATCGTAGTTCGTGATATAGATCAAAAGAGAATACATATGAGTCTATGACATTGCATGGGTATAAAAAAAACAAGAATTTGCTGCACAAGCTAATGGAGTCCATGCATTGGTAAGCCTTTTTCAATGATGCCAAGACAATCGTAGACGAGAAAGTGACATGGGACTGAAAAGAACATTTGTGGACCTCTGTTTGAGCGCTCAAATTATCCCAAAATACTAAAAGACATAACACTGTCAAAACTTCAAAATCAAACATGGAGTGAACTAATAAACTTCTTCATCAAATGAAAAGGGGATACAAATATCATTACATTCTAACAAAAACAAACAGACAAACCACTAGTCTAGCTCCATCTTGGCAACACCTGACACATGAATGAGCAACACGGCACACTGCACATGCAGGAGGCCATATGATAACAAGGTATTCTTCAAGCAATCAAATTTTCCGAGACTGCATGTTAGAATAAAATTATAAAAATTATATATCCCTCACCTATAAACTTAACTTTCAAATCTAATAATACATGAACATAGTGTATGAGATCAAAATCATGGCATATGATTTTTATTACAACTAATATTGATAGTCACTTGATGGTCCATTTTTAATCTGAACCCACAAGGGCACAAGTAGAAAATGAATGGATCAACAAAGGAAATCGATGGCTGACAATTGGTCCCGCCGGTCCAAGATGAAAGAGAAAAGAGGGGCTACAGATAACCCATAGAAACTTAAAAGATATGGACCACGAACTCAACAAGAAGACGACAACATACGAGTGGACCACCACCTGATGTCGTGAAAAAGAATCCCAGTCACCTCCATCTTCGCTCGCAAAATTAAATATTGGCATCGAATCAATCAAATACAATGAAAACCCAGCGGATAACTTTTATCCTATTGATCCAACTATTTATCACCAATATCATCTTTTAACTCTGAAGAACATGTTAGTTTACCAAAAACTGCATACTTGCATAGCGGGTATAGTCATTCATCCACAGATTAATGGAGACCACAAATTTTATGGATTGAGAAGCAACCACTTAAGTACTAGAACAGACAGATAAGAAAATACCCATTTAACTAAAAAGAAAGACTTGGGGTTCCATTGAGGGAGAGAGAAAAAAGGAAGAACGATCACAAAGCTAGTGAAGTAGAAGGAAGAACAGTAAAGTGGAGCAAAATGAAACCAGACAGAAAAAACTCGAGACAATTTAAGAACAAAAGCAAAGGGCAGTCCGATTTGAGATTCTCAGTGCAGTGTGAAGACCCTGCTGCTGCGAAAGATACTGTAATGAAATGAAGAATTGAAGTGGGTACTCACCTAGTAGTTTTTCCATCAGCTAGAAAAGCGTCTGGTTTCGATCCCAACTTCATAAACTTCATCTTTGCTTGCACTCAGAATCGATGACAATATCAGACGTTACTGCAGACAAAAACAGACAAACCACTCCTCTGTTTTCCACTAAGACTTCGTTTGCGCCATCAACCTTCTTCTTCTTCTTCTTCTACTGCGAGACGAGTTATGGGACTTTCCCTGTTGAGCAATGACAGTCCCGAAACAAATTTACTGAAAGAAGGTCCAAACCTATACAAGAAATGGCGGATTTTCAGAGATTTCCTCCGTCCATAGCACGTTACCTGAGAACGATAATAAACATTAGCCCGAGAGAAATGCTCGCTCTAGACCAAGGTCTCGGTTATCGCGTCCCTTCATTAATTTCGAGGCATTATGATGACATTGCTGACGCTCCGTGAGAGCAAAACAGAGATTATTCACAAAACACAATCGCGTTTAGAGAAAAGGGGAAATGGGGGGAAACCCAGAAGAAAGAAAGAAGCGTTGTTCTGCGAAGAACTTGCACAGAAAAAATAGGCGTCAGGAGGGAAAGAGAAAGAGAGATTAGGGAATGGGAAAGTGGATAGAATTATTAAGTGGTTGTTCAGAAAAATTAAAGAAAAAATTTAGAACTAGGCGAGTAGCATTGCAGATAGAGAAAGAGACCTTCTCTTCTTCTTGTGGGTATCATAAATTGCAGCCGCCTTTGCTTTAAATTATCCTGATCCGCTGAAGATCTTCCAAATGGCGCAAATCTCAATGAGACTCTGTAATTCAATCAATTTCTCCTCTCCCCTAATTCCTCCACTTCCTCTTTTGGTTCTTAGCCCCGATTTTCCGAGAAAACAAGCAATTGGAATCCGCAGCGGAGGAGATGGAAATTGAAGAACAACAAAAATTAGAGAGAGGGAAAGAAACTTGCCTTCGTTCTTCGAAACTTCGCGCGTTTCCGTTCCACTGAACTGAGTTTTGTTTGAACAGAGTGTGGCTCAGTTTATGACGTTAAAGCACGCCACCTCGAGGTGGACCATTTTGCCCCTCGTTATTCTCTTTATTCTCCGCTATGTCCTACCGTTGGGTTGGGCGCTTCGCCGTCACGCGCCTCTCGGGATAATTTACCGTCTGTTTATTGACTTTTTAACTGGGCCCCACCGCTTTGGCAATTTTTTGCTTACGTGGCCGCAGTACGGCCAGGTAGGGAAATATTACGCTACGCACCTCGTGTAGCAGCTTTATTTCTGATGATTCAATAATAACGTCCCACGTGGCACCGTCTTCCATGGTCAGTAAGTTTGACCCGATTAATTAATTTTCACGTGAAATCGTTATAATTGTAATTTTCTTTTTTTACTAATGGGTTTGGTTTGGTAAAAAGAAATAACTACGTTATTTTTTTTTTTTTTTGAAACACTACCGTAGTACAGTTGTTCGGGTTAAATGTGGGTCCCACGTCGGTATAAATATATAGATATTAACTTAAAACTAATCAAATATAGTCATTTACTAATCAATTACTTAATACGCTAATTCCATATTCTAATCATTTTTAAATAGAAAATTGAAGCCAAGAAAGATGTTTCAAATTGTATCTTCCCATCCATAAAATCATAACTGAATTAAAAAAAATAAAATACCTTTTGCGTAATCCAAATTTGAAAATTTTGAGTTTATAGTACTTATATTCATAAATGTCATAGGTAACATGTTTAATAGAGTAACTAAGAGTTCGTTTAATAGTATTTAAGTTTTTTGTTTCTGTTTTATGAAAAAGTAAAATATAGATACATTGTTTCAATACCTATAAATTCAATAATGATAAATAAAAAATATTAGTAGTGGTTAAATTCTTACATTTCTTTAAAAAATATAAAATAATAACAATGCAGCGTGAAATAATAATAATTATCCAGCGTTAAATACTTTATTTAGCTTTTGGATAGCCCATAATTCGAAGTGTTTAACTTGATTTCACACACCTAATAAGCACAACTTACTAGAAAACAATAATTGTTGAGGAAAATAATTTAAAAAAAAAAAGAAGAGAGAGTTACGCTTAGGAAAAAATAAATAAATAAAAGAAAAGAAAAAAAAGGGCGAATGGAATTCAAAAATGAGAAGCAATGTTTCAGCAGCGCCGACAGATTTTGACCAAAACCAACTGTAAAGTATGTTGGTTTCCCCAAAAATCGGTAGAATTTTCCATTTCCATATTATACTTTCCGCTCATGCAAACCTCTTCTCTCTCCGCATATTTATACTAATTCAGCCATGCATTCCAAAAAAAAATAATAATAATAATTTATAATTTGTATTGGTCTTCGGTATTTTCAACACATACCGAAAATATTTTTCGTATTCACAAATAAAAATTTTTTCAAATTCAATTTTACCTCATTATTTCTATATATATTACTATTACCTAACAAATATTAGATATATTGGTTCTGAAGTCAAAAAAAAAAAAATATATATATATATATATATATATTAATTCTAATAACAAATATGTTGAATGCTAGATATATGAATGATATATTTAATATGAAGTATGTCATGTCGGTCAAATTAAATATATCATATATATACTTCATATCAAGTATTTCACTGATAAATTTTCTTCAAATTAAAAGTTTTTGTTTACGCAACCTTGTATGTTTCTTTTTTATTTTTTCTTTTATTTGAGAAATAATATTGTAGGTTTCTTATTGATATATCAAACGCTTTTGGTATATCACTAATATATATCTAATATGTAGTATATTAGTCACATCAAATATATAAGTGACTTATGTAACTAATTTATTTAATATGAAGTATATCAGTCACGTTAAATATATTAAATCGATATAACTGATTTACTTAATCCGAGGTATATCATCCATTTACTAGATATTGGGTAGAATCAATTTTCCTATTTTTATCATTCAGGACCTCCATTTTTTGCTATATTTGTAAATTAAAAAAATGTTGTTATTTTTACAATTAACTATTAACTTTTTGCTATATTTACAAACATCGTAATCTTATAAGATTATCATATGATCTAACCTAAACTATAACACTTAACTATTAAAAAATTCTTACATTTTTAATGTATTAGATAAGTGGTTATCGTTAGATTTAAACCCATTTTCTAACATGTTCTAATAAAGACTATTAAGCCAAGTTGTAGTGGTTTGCATTCAAGTTTCAACCACTTTGAAGAATCAATGTGAAGAAAAAACATGCTTATATTAACTTTTCTATTAAATTATGTATTGAAATAAAGAGAAACAATAAATAATTTTGATGTAAACTTTAAAAACCACAAATGAAATAATATCAAGTTCATAGCCTAAAATAGGATCTAAATCGATAATCTTGGAATACGAAAATTGCGAGAACATTTCCGCAGGAAGGACTTTAGAAATGGGTGTGAAGAGAAAGAGTGGGAAAAGAGATCTAGAACAGGTGGGTGGGAAAAGAATATATATTTTTTCCATTATTGTTTGAATTGTGGGTTGCACATTTTAAACTTTCGACTTTTTGTCCTATTGCAGAAACTCAACTTTAATCTTGTCTATTGATTTAGAAAGCAATCAATTAAAAATTATCTGTTTTCGAATTTCTAAATCTATTTTATTAATATTATATTACAGACTAGATAAATCTCTCTATATATATAATAGAGAGATCGATCACGTAAAAAAATGTTAAAGCCTTAATTGATAAAATTTGAGAATATGAGATACTCTAATATATGTTCAAAAAGTATGCAAATTAATAAATTATAGAAACCTGAACTTTATTAACTTGAATTTGATTGGTGAGTTTATGATTAAGTAAGATTTCATAAGCTTGAGTCTACAATAATAATAATAATAATAATATTATTATTATTATTATTATTATTATCATCATCATCTAGAATAAGCAAATTTTAGACACAACTTATTAACCTCGTATGATACAAACTTAATTTGCGAGTAGGCAAGGTCCATCTAGAAATTACCTTAAAATAAACGTAATTTGTGTTTATTAAAAAAATTTCACAATAAATTTGAAGGTGGCAAAATTTTATTTCAATAAAAAAAGGAAAAAAGAAGAGAAAGACGACAGCTTTTAAGACATAAAAGAATGTGAACGTACTTCAAACACACAAATCTGAACTACTAGCTAAAACACATACACCAAAATATCGTAAGTTCAAATGTTCACTAAAGTAATATTTTTGACAATAAAACGAATAAATAAATAATAATAATAAATAGAAAAATAAACGTAGGCTAGCCATTAATGTGGGCATCAACGTCCATATAAATCGGTCCCAAATCTATTATTCCCAAACGGGTCCCTCTCTTGGGTAGGGGACCGTTTGGCTGTGCAATTCTTCTACAAATTTTAGTTTTCTTCATTTTAATCTTTCAATTTTTTTAATATTTATTATAGTCTTTAAATTTTAAACAAATAATTATGGTAGCTTTTAAAATAATATATATATTTTTTAATATCCTCCTACCTAATATTTAGGTCAACTCCAACTTATTTCGATCAGAAACCAATTATCCTTTTGGGATTGAGAATTCAATCTTGATTCCCCTTTAAAAATCAAAACCAAATTCTATCAATTTATGATCTAACATATAACGGGTAAAATTGACATTTTAAAAGTTTGAAGAGAAAAATGGAATTTAAATTTATTTATTTATTTATTGATTCACAACGACCAAACGTAATAAATGAAAGGGATTTAAATCAATAAAACAAATAGTAAAAAGAATTAATTAAATGGTGGAGCATGGCCGGCCGTCACTTATTTAATTTCACCCACCTGTAAAAAGGCTTTTACAGCTACCTTCATAATTGCTGTATGCCCACTCATTTATATATGCTGAACACCGAAATCTATCCATTTCTGATTCTCTCATCTTTACACCAAGATTTTATATTCAATCCAAAATTTTGTTCTCAGATCTTGCCTTTCAATTCCATGCATGTATAATATCCATAGTCCAACTGATAAAATTACTGAGTAACATTACGGATATAATTCAATGTCGTCGGGTTTGAATCTTCTCCTCTCTCGATTGCATTGTCGAGAAATAAAACATCGACATGCCATGCAAATGTATGTTCTTTTGCTTAACGCGAAATTTGTAATGGAGCTTAATATTTTTCTCGTGGGAGTGTTTTGTTTAATAGTATATAATATATTTTCGTTGGTGTGAGACCTTTTAAGTTAATTTAAAAAGCAAACTCAGGTAAGTAGTGGACAGTATCATACAATCATAGAAATGTGCACAAATACTATATACATTTATGTGACGAACAAAACTTTTCAAACATTACTTTTACTTTTACAAATTATTTATAAATTTAATTTAGTGTAGACTATATAAATTTGTATGTCAATGAGAACATAACTCAATTCGGAGATTCCTTACCTAGGTTTTAACATAAATTCAGACTTCTAAAACTAAAAGCCAAAACATCTGGCAGGTCCTTGACTTTACTCATCAAATAAATGTCACATATATTATACCATTATCTTCCTAAAACAGTGAAAAGCAAGTCTAAATTTCATCATCATTGAGCAATATGCCAGTGATCAGTTAAAAGTAGAAAACAAGAAGCAATAAGTGGGTTAATAATTCAAAATAATGACTTCCCCACCAAAAACTTTTTACCCTTACCCACAACCCTAACAATATAAATATCATCATTAATCCGTTGGATTCAAATAATAACTAAATTGCAACAACATTATTCGAATATCAAAAGAAAAAGGATATACATATCTTAAAAGGAAAACAAAAGAAACTAAATCACTCTTGTACAACATTCATCCTCTTCGTGCGAAACGTCTTCGAGTAACACCAACGTGTAGTGTGATAAGCAAATTTAATTGAGAGTGGGGATGGAGAAGATGATTAAAAATTGAAACCCAAATAATTAAATTAGATATGATGGGGAAAAAAAAGG